AGCAGCCTGGGCTGGGCCTCTGTGGGTGCAGTGCACCGGAGGAGCTGGGGCTGGGGAGGGGACACACTGAGCAGGGTCACTTGAGCGGCCGGGACGCTGTCTCTGTGGCAGGGTCTCACGCCTCCTGGCTTCCCACCTGCTGCCTGGCTTCTCCCACACTGAAGCAGCTCGTACCTGAGTCCTCAGGGACAGACAGACTGCCACGCGAGGCTGCGTGCTTGCAAAGTTTGCTGCTGGTGTGTGACCACCTGCACTGCCTGGGACGAGGAAGGAGTGTGGGCTCCCTGTGCCGGCATCCCCTCTCCTCCGCCAGGCTGCACACCAAGGCTGTTGCCCCAGGTCCACGGACTCAGGTCCGGGTTCGAAATCCCATCCACTGGTCAGAGTAGGACCCCAGACGTGGGGACTGTGGTGGCCAAGCTGGGTCTTTGAAAGCCAGAAGGGGCAGGTGTCCCTCAGTCCTGCCGTGGCCCGTGACGTGATGGTTGAGGCGCCGGCATTGCTCCCCTCTTACTGGGTGTGAGGAGTGTCCTCAGCCCTCCCGTAGGGACCTGCGGGTGACCAGGCAGCCACCCATGGTGTGGGGGGGTGAAGGAGGAAGGAGCTGGCTGGTGTCATCCAGCCCCCAGCCAGGAGTGTGCAGGTGTTCGGACAGGGTGCTGTCTTCTGCAGGGACAGGGTGTCTCTGTGTCCCATGGACTTTGACTCGGCCTGTGGCCCCGGGGGCCTCAGCGGTACGCCTTTTGCCTCAGAAGGTGACCTTGGATCCCCCCAGCCCACAGCCTGAGTGCACGGTGCCACCAGCAGAGCCTGATGCTGTGGGTGGAGCCCCTCTGTGTGTCCTTTGGTCTGTTTGGGGCATACCTGATCCCTGCCAGGACCCCAAGTCTGGGGTCCCACATGACTTCGGGTACAGCCCTCAGAGGGCCCTGGGCTGACTGCCCGCCTTTCGAGAGTTCAAGTCCAGCAGCAGCATCAAGAGGCCTGGGGCAGGCGACAGGGGCAGGGGTCCCCGATCTGCTGACCCTCTCCCACCCCCAGGGGTGCTGTTCAGCATCGAGGTCACCTCCACCTACTTTGCTGTGAGGAACTACTGGAGGGGCTTCTTCGCCGCCACCTTCAGCGCCTTCGTCTTCCGTGTACTGGCCGTGTGGAACAAGGACGCTAGTAACCGGGGATGACGGGGCAGGGGTGATGGGGGCAGGGATGATTGGGGCAGGGGTGATGGGGGCAGGGATGATTGGGGCAGGGGTGATGGGGACGGGGTGATGGGGTCAGGGGTGCCTGTAGATCTGGTAGCAGCTGTGAACAGTGGCTGTGAAATGAGGGAGGGGTGCAATGGGGGAGGGGTGAGATGCAGAGGAGAGGCCTGGCTGTCCTGAACACCTCCCTGGCCCACAGTCACCATCACCGCGCTCTTCAGAACCAACTTCCGCATGGACTTCCCCTTTGACCTGCAGGAGCTGCCAGCCTTCGCTGTCATTGGGTGTGTATTGCTGCTCGGGCGGTGCAGGGGCAGGGTGTGGGGGACATGACAGTGGGGGACAGGGTGAGGGCACATCGCAGGGCAGAGGGCAGAGTGTGTGGGGCAGGCGTGTGCTTACCATGCCTGCATGCTCACTCTCCTGCCTTGCCCTGCCGCTCACCACCAGGATCTGTTCCGGGCTCCTGGGGGCCGTGTTTGTCTACCTGCACCGCCAGGTGATGCTGGGCGTCCGCAAGAACAAGACGCTGAGCCAGTTCCTGGCCAAGCAGTGAGCCTTGCCTCCCCCGCCCGGGTGACCCCATGTCCAGGGGCCCCCTTTACCTGTGTGGATGGCACCCATGGCTTTCAGGTGGGGTCAGGGCAGAGGGGACGTGGCTCAGGTGGGAGCTCCCTTCTGGAAGAGGTTATGGGAAGTGAATGCTTGTGGCATGAAGACCCCCGACTGCAGGTGGCCGGGGGTGTGCCCGGGTGGGGGTGGGCATGGTGTCCATGGGCAGCTGTTCAGGGGCGGGTTCATGGCGTCTCCTTTCCAGCCGCCTGCTGTACCCTGGCATCGTCACCTTTGTCATCGCCTCCTTCACCTTCCCCCCTGGCATGGGCCAGTTCATGGCTGGAGAGGTCAGCTTGGGGTGCCTGGGAGGGCAGCTCAGCTCTGCTGGGTGGAGGGAGCAGGGCCATGTGAAGGGAGGATGGGGAGGCAGCGCAGGCCCAGGGCTGTGGTTGGGCCTGGGGTGGACGCAGTCCTGAGGGACCTTGAGTGGGGACGCGGGTCCATTCCCTCCCTCCCTCCACTGGCCAGCTGATGCCCCGGGAAGCCATCAGCACTCTGTTTGACAACAACACGTGGGTCAAACACACCGGGGACCCCAAGAGCCTGGGCCAGTCGGCCGTGTGGATCCACCCCAAGGTCAATGTGGTCATCATCATCCTGCTCTTCTTTGTCATGAAGGTGAGCCCAGCGCCTCTGACCAGCCCCGGGCGGCGCGTCCCCTCCTTGGTCCAGCCTGATGTGAGACAGCATGGCCTCCGTGGCCAAGGCCCGGGATCTGGGTCCCTCACTCCGTTCTTGTCCATGGGGCGGCCTTGGGCTTAGAAAGCAGGGCTGACACTGGCGAGAGCCTCTGCTCGGTGCCCCCGAGCTGATTAGATTAATCAGGGAGCACACGCTCGGGGATCTGATTCCCCATCCACCCCGAAGGCCTGCAGAGAGGCGCCTCAGAATCATGGAACAGGAACAAAACAAACCCGTGCCTTGAGGGGGCACCAGACGTTTGCGCAGTAGCAGCACGGATGTCAGCCGGGAAGGTTAACTCTGGGGATAGACACCGTGTGAGCTATGAGCTGCTTCCGCGCAGCTGGTCTGGGTTCTCTGGTCCCACCAACTGCACGGCCCAGTCGGAGCCTTCTCCACTACTAGCAGGGAGCCCCCGAGATTCCTGGGGTTGCCGCCCTCTTTCCAGGTCGCCTCCACGGTACATTGGCGCAGGTCAGCGGGGCTGGCAGTGAGCGGAGAATGGCTTTGCTGTTATGGCTCAGGACGGGCGTCTTGTTATAGAACCGGGATATATTTCTGCATAAACATTCGGCATTGCCCCTCTGCCTGTTTTACCCGGCCCGGTCCCTCCTGCCCCTAGGGACGCCCCCGAGTTTATATCCACGTTCCCATGTCCTGCTCCAGCAATGAGGCTGTCTGCCCGCCCCCACTTTCTCCTCACGGTTCAGGAGACCGAAGTTGGCCCCCGTGGTATCAGTCCTTCTCTGTGTCTGCCACCCAGCCCTGCGCCTCTAGGTCCCACCATGACTGCCGCAGAGTCCTGTTGGTGTCTCTCTGGTTCTGTCTTTTGCTGGTGTTAGGAGCCCTCCAGGCTGGCAGTTGGGAAACACCAGCAGCTAGTGATGGTCCGGGCACTCACCAGGGCAGGTCCAGCCTGTCCTGTAGGGCCGCGATGAGCCGGCTTCCACCCACAGCAGTGAACTTAGCTTTGGGGTGTGGCTATCTCTGGATGGAGGCATCCCACCTCAGCTCTGAGCTCCAAGACTCTTGTGACCTCAGCTTGTCCACACTGGACGGTCCTGCTTTTGGACACCTGTCCACCTCCTTCGGGACAATTTTTTTATCCACGTGGATCCTATAGTGCTTCCATTTTTCTCCTCAGCAAACACGTCTGAGCCCTGGGGCCCAGTAAGCATGTGACGATATTGCTTCTCAGTCTTTGGACCATCTGCCTCCTCCTGAAAGAGTCTTTTAAAATCTCCCTCTGTGTTGTTACTCAGCAAGGAGCCCTGGTGGTGGAGGGGTTACGCATTAGACTGCTAACCACAGGTCAGCAGTTCCAATCCACCAGCCGCTCTGTGGGGCATAGACGGGGTTTCCACTCTGAGTTATGGTCTTGGAAACCCACGGGGGCAGTTCTACCCTGTCTTCTGGGGTCCCTGTGAGTCAGCATCCGCTCGGTGGTAGGGAGAGAGCTGTTTTGCTGGCATGGAAAGTGGGCCCAGTGGACACAGTGGACAGTGGTCCCTGCAGCCCCTCCCCCATGTCCTGGTCCAGACTGCCTAGAGGCCGATACCCAAGCACTCTCTCTGTCTCTCACACACGCCTGTGGTGCTGTCTTGACTGCCTGTTCAGGCTGTGGGCACCCTGGGTTTGGGCTCTGGGGTCAATGTCCCCAAGGACGATCTGGTGCCGGTTCCCAGTGGCTCGGGACACGAGAAGGGGAGAGGAGGGGTGAGAGTGGAGTGTGCGTATTGGGGGGGTGGGGTGTCTCTCAAGCCTCTTTGTGCTCCAGTTCTGGATGTCCATCGTGGCTACCACCATGCCCATACCCTGCGGAGGCTTCATGCCCGTGTTTGTGCTGGGTGAGTCCTGCCGGGGGTCTGGGGGGGCACGGTAAGGCTTGGGACCCTGCAGGGCTCAGCTCTGGACACTTCCCCGCCTGTGGTCTCTGCTCAGGCGCCGCCTTCGGGAGGTTGGTCGGGGAGCTCATGGCCATGCTGTTCCCGGACGGCATCCTGTTCGATGGCATCATCTACAAGATCCTCCCCGGGGGCTACGCTGTGATTGGTGAGCCACGCCCTTCCCCACAGCCACACCCTGAGGACCCCGACCCGCACTCATGTCTCCAGGCTGGGAGGGTTACACACCCTGGTTTTTATCTCCACTGTCAACCCTGGCTTCTGGCTCTAAGACCTGCTGTGGGGCTGCCCTGGGCCTGGGCCCAGGTGTGTTCCCAGGACTCTGTCTGTCTGCTTTGCTGTGGGGCTGCTCTGGGCCACACAGAGTCCCCGGGTGGCCACTGGTCCACCATTGGGATGTCCTTCCTGAGCCGTCACCTCTGGATTCTAAGATGGTTTTTAGGATACCTAGTGGCCCTGCCCAGGTTGTGCGAGTCCCTTCACTGTGCCGTCCTGCCCCACCCAGAGCCAACTCCAGCCCAGAACCCACGCTGGACTCCCCAGCCAGCGAGTCAGTCCGGACTCACAGCGACCCATTCAGAGTCCAACAATGCTGTTGATTGGTGCCGTCCAACCAGTTCCCACTCAGTGGTTCCACGGGCAACTCCACCCAGCACTGCCCGCTCCCGCGTCGTCCTCACAGAAGTTCCGTGTGAGCCCGCTGAGCAGCCCCTGTGTCCAGAGACCAATAAAACCCGTTACCCACACACTGCCTCCTGCTCACCTTCCCATGGCACCCAAGGCCATGCCCCCACTGCACCCTCAGATAGCTTCCGAACTCAGTGGAGAACCTCCCCCTCCCCCAGCCCCTTCCCCAGAGCCCCTTCCATGCCATTTCCTCTGGCTCTTGGCTCCCTCCCCATTCCCCAAGCAAGCAGAATTCCTCTAGTAGCTCAAGTCCTGAGGGGTGCCCTGAGCTCTGCCAGGTGGGCCCTGCTCTTCCAATGCCCCCTCCCCACTTTCAGGGACTCAGATCCATTTCGCCTGCCTTCCCCAGGCGACCTCACCCAGACACAGGGACTCCTTCAGTTAGTGCAGAAACAGACACAGACAGATAGGTGCCGTCAGGTCTGACCCACAGGGACCCCGGGTGCAACAGGAGGAAACCCCACCCCGGCCAATCTGCAACGTTGTCAGTCATCCTTATGTCTGAGCCCACTGCTGCGGCCACTGTGTCAGTGCGTCTCATCCAGGGCCCTCCTCTTTCTCCCTGCGCCTCGGACTGCTCCCTGCTGACACTCTGTGAGACCAGGTCTCAGCATCCTGGCTCCTCGGGAGCTTCTGGACAGATCTGTTTGTTCTCCCGGCCGTCCACGGCACCTGTGAAATTCTCTGCCGAGACGATTCTTACGTGCGCCTTCTCTTCTGTTCTCAGGACACACTCACCTCACGTGTTCTGTTTTGTGTTTAACAAACCGCGGGCCCCTGGCCGTCCTGCCTCGAGCAGGTCCCTGGACACCCTTGTCCAACAGCGCACTCACCCCATGCCTCTGCGCCGCATTTCCGGCCTCACCGGCCCACGGTGCTACTGTCCATGTGTCCACATCATGGGCCACAGCCCAGTGTCATCATGGCTTGGGCAGGCACCCGGTCTCTATAAGTGCATGTGCTTGATCATGGTGGTCTGGAAGTGAACTCGAAGCATCTCTGAGGGGCGCTGGGAGCAAGGCAGAATGTGGCTCCACAGAGCTCTTAGGTCCACGAGTGCCTTCAGGAGGCCCGGTGGTGTCGCTGCATAAACGTTGGGCTACCAGCCTCCGGTCGGCAGTGCCGCAGTGGCTCCTCGGGAGAAAGATGCAGCTGTCTGCTCCCGTAAAGGTCTACAGCCTCGGAATTCCAAAGGGGCAGTTCCACCCTATTCTACAGGGTCACAGGGCTTTTCAGGACTCCCTGAGTCATCCCCCTGGGCCTTGCAGATGAGAGTCTGGGGCTGTCTGATGGGCTGGGCCCAAGCAGGACTGGGAGAAACAGGGGCGTAGAGACCTGGGCCTGAACATGACACGGAGCTGCCCCTGGTGGTCCAAGTCTGCAGCACTGTCCTTGGGATAAATCAGCCACTGTTCAGGCACCTTTGGCACCAGGACCTGAGGCCCAAGACCAAAGGACGCAGGGGGACCCAGAGAGCTTAGGGGGGAGTCACTTCATAAATGAAGCTTGGGTACATACCGCCTGTTGGCTTGCTGAAGGTCGTAGGATGAGATCACACCTGCTGCTTTCTGGCCGCTCAGGGCCTGGTCACTGCTCCTGACCCATCACCCTCTCAGGGTGCCCGCAGGGCCAGGGACGCCGCTTCCATGTCCCCACCCTTCCCCTCCCACCGACGGACCTGCGCCTCCTTGCAGGAGCCGCAGCGCTGACGGGCGCTGTGTCCCACACGGTCTCCACGGCTGTCATCTGCTTTGAGTTGACGGGCCAGATCGCTCACATCCTGCCCATGATGGTGGCGGTGATCCTGGCCAACATGGTGGCACAGAGCCTGCAGCCCTCCCTGTACGACAGCATCATCCAAGTCAAGAAGCTGCCCTACCTGCCCGACCTGGGCTGGAACCAGCTCAGGTCAGCGGCCAGAATGAGCTTCAGGGCCGGGGCCACATCGTGGGCACCGTGCTCGGTTGGGGTCTGTGCTCCCGGTGGGGCGGACGGTGGGCTGACCGCCCTGCTCTCTCCGCCCCCAGCAAGTTCACCATCTTTGTGGAGGACATCATGGTGCGGGACGTGAAGTTCATCTCGGCTTCTTGCACATACAGCGAGCTGCAGGCACTGCTGCAGACCACCAC